CGGTACCAGTTTGTGTTCCTTCATACAATGCTGCACGAATGCCTAGACCTTCCAGTCAGGCGGTATGACACAGATTACAAGTATCCTATCTTAACCAATCACAGAAGACAGTTAGCCATAATACAGAAAGAATTGCAAATTTTCACTGTTACTGAGATTTGAACTCTAGACCTGCCACTTGGGAGTTGACAACCTATCCACTTCACTAGGTTGCTACACCCCTATTTGGTTATTTAGTTATATTAATAAATGTAAATTTCATTTATTAATATATAATATATATATATATTGGTGTCAATAAAAAATCTACAATTAGTGAAGATTATTAGTGATCCTGCTTATGTTTAATTTTAATAGGCTATTACATACTCTAATTATACATACTGAATCTGCCAATCATCACTGATTGTAGCCAATAAAATTACAAGATTTTTATAATATAAAAAAATTAAAAAGCATTATGAAAACAGAGAAATCACAAATAACTCTAAATAAAAGTTTTAAATTTGTACTAAATTCTGATCTTTATGCTCTTTCAATTTGGTAATCAGCATAACCTGTTATAGATTTATATACATGCAATTTTAAAGTATTCTAATGTGAATTAATGGTTAAGATATAATAAGCCATTAGTGAGACTGCAATATATGGCCTGAGTTTGTAACTAGCTAAGAGTATTTGGAAACTGTAAGCCTTATTGTAAATCTTTAATTAAAATATCAGAATCAAATTGTGTTTTTTTATAATAATCACACTTATCAAAATTTTCTACATATATATCTTTTTTGAAAAACTTCTTACTAAGTTTCTTATATCTTATAGAATAAACTCAGATTAGAAGATAGAAAAGTGTTAGTCAAAGACTTTGCAGGAACACTTCATTGACCTCTTGGTTTTTAAAGATAAACTTAAAGTAGACAATAAAAAAATATAAGTAAAGGCACTTTGTAAAAACATCTAGCTAACTTCATAAAAAAGTATTAGTAGAAGCACTTTGGAAAAACACTTTACTAACTTTTTAAAGTCTTAAACTAAGCTTAAATCATATAGTAAAAAAATTTGAGTGAATAATTTTATAAGAACATTTTGTGTTATAGTTACATGCTAAGTCACCTAAGTCTGTAATGCAAGCCTGACTTAAGTCTATAACTTAAGCTTAACTCAAGCCTGTGATCTAAGTCTAACTCAAGTTTGACCTAAACCTATGATCCAGACCCAACCTAAGCCTATAACCTAAGCCCAACTCAAGCCTGTGACCCAAGTCTGTAACTCGAGCCTAACCTAAGACCATGATTCAATTCTGAAACTCAGATCTATTACAAACCCAAGACCTTATATACATAAGTAATGAATTAATAAAGCTTTGCATTAATAATGTAGTCATAGCATAGTTGAAAGTAGTAATAAAGCTATGCATTAATAATATAATAATAGTGTAGTTAAATTAATAATAAAGTATATATGAATAATGTAGTTATAGTTTCATAATATCTAAGTAAAAATGCAACAGTAATTAGTAATTAGTAAATAAGAAAAGAAATAAAAAAGAAAGGGAAATGTATACTTAGCTCTCTAGTCTGATTAATACAAATTCTTTCTTGTATTATGCCCAAGCTTCTTATACTATGCTTCATTTTTTGTTATATTGTATATATTTGAAGCAATTCTTGTTTTATGACAATTTGATTAGATTATACAACTTGTAGATCTATTGTAGATTATATATCCTAAACTCTATTGATTAATCAAACTTGTTGTTAATTAACTTACTTTTAATAATAAAACACAAATAGTAAAACATGAAAGAAAAAGAAAAATAATAATAATAATAATAATAATACATATATATAAATATGAATGAACAACTAAATCTTAATAGTATCTTTCTTATACTATAGCAAATCTAACAAGAAAACCAGTTTTTAAAACAAGAAAACATGAACTTTTACAATAAACTTAACCAACTTTAGTTGCAAAAAGAGATTCATAACTATTCAAAAAAGTCAAAAGTTAGTCTACTAGATAAGTTTAATAGAATTTGCTTTAAGTTTAGAGAGTTCTTAAACCAAATATAGCTTATTATCTGTTTAAAACTCAGTTAATATCTTAATAATAGGACTCAGATAGGATTGCTTGGCAGTTAGGGATTAGAACCATTTAACCATTTAAAAATTGCTTTATAGTTCCAGGCAGAATTATGTTGGTCATAGGCCAGAATTATTTTAATGCCAGCTAAATTAAACGATTAAACAATTAAGAAAAATTTTAGATGGTTCCAATTCCTATTGGCAGTTTACTTGTGAGCTTAGCATTAGTATGATTTGTTTTACTTTTTAAAAAAGAATTACTGCTGTTAAATAATTTTGATAATTTTATTAAAGAGTTTAAAGCTACTTTTGAAAATTCAAAAAAGGTCAAAACAGCAGCCAATAAAATTAAAAAACTTATCCAAGAATCTAATTTGGCCTCAAGTTATGTTTTAAAGTTTCAACAAATCTCTAGTAATCTGGACTAAGATAAAGCAACATTAATTAATCAATTTCAAATCAGTCTGAAAAGTGATGTAAAAGACTTATTACTTATTATAAAACATCTTATTTTACTGAATAATATAAAATTCAAGACAGTACATTGTGATAATAAGTTGTTTAAATGATATCAGAAATGACAAGGCTATATATTAAATCAGAGTAATTCAGTAAGTAGTTATAGTAAGACTAGCTTACTTCTAGAGCCAATGCAAATTAACTCAACAAAGATAAAAATCCTAATTGAGAAAGAAAAACAGAGACAACAGATCAATAACCTCTGCCTATACTGTAATAAACCTTATCATATAGTTAGAAGTTGTCCAAGAAAAGGCATTACTAATTATAAGATTATTATTACAAAAGCAATGTTAGAAAGGTCAGAAAAAAAGAAGCCTTAACTGCAATAAGAAGGCTACAATAAGAAGGCTGCAGTTGAATAGTACTTGTAAGTTAAGCCTTAAAAAACTAACCTCTATACTTTAATAAATACTTTTATTATATCTGCATGTATACAACTTCTAAACAAATTTATGCTATTTATTAATACATTAATAGACTCAAGTGTTTTTACTTGCTTTCTTGACTATATATTAGCATATGAATGCAATCTACCTGTTAAAAGAAAGAATACATCACTATTAGTAAAAGTGATTGATAGTTAGAAAATATCATCTGAAGTAGTCTTATATGAGACCAAGCTGTTGCTGCTATACTATTAAAACTATTGTAAAGAAATTTTATTCAGCCTAATCCAAACATCATATTATCAGGCTATTCTGAAATTACTATGATTAGTTTTTTACAATCTTAATATTAATTAGTATGAATAAACTTTACAATTTTTAGATGAGAGGTGTAGTGCATACTGTTGGCATTCATTTACAATGCACTTAGCAACTAACATTAGTACATTAAAAAGAGTCTTCTAGGCTTAAATTTTTCATATAGCCCTTAATACAGAAACAGCTACATTAATACTTCTAATAAAATATAATAACTTTAGTAATATATTTGATAAAAAAAAGCAGAAAAATTATCAGAGCACAGGCCTTATGATTGTGCAATAGACTTAGTACTTAAAAAACAGTTCATATAAGGGCCTATATATGAACTATTAGAATTAGAGTTGAAAATACTAAAAAAATATATAAAAGAAAACCTGAACAAGAGATATATTAAGCATTTTAGATCTTCTGCAAAGGCTTTTATATTGTTTTTTTTTTTAGTATTAAGGTGATCTTTTTGGTTTTTTAACTTTTATTAATCACTTATTGGTAATCTGATTCTATAAACTATTACAAAAAAGAGTATAATATACTATGCTAAAATCTACTTTGTAATATTTTCCTTTTCTTGAAAATTTTGTTTTATAAAATTCTCACAACTTTTGTATCATTTACAAAAGTCAACTAATTAATTAAACTTGGCTCTACTCATATCACTAATATGTTTTATAGTTTCTTTGTTTGATATATTTGTTTATAGCCAATAGCTTTGAACAATCAATAGATTCTAGTTTAAACCTTAATTCTACTTGTCTTTATAGTTTTGTTATAATCTAGTTTGTCTACTAATAGGGCTTCTAAATAATAGCTATAAGCTAAACAGTGTATTTGGTTATAGTTAGAGAAGCTAGCAACTAACTAATATGTATTAGTGATTTTAGTATAATAATTTTCCTATGTTGATGTAATTATTATTGGCACTGTTATAGAGAAAATCTGGCTTGGTGTATTGTTAAGCAGATCTATTTTTATTTTTGTCAATAGATCATTATTTTGGGTTGTTGGCAACATGTATAAAGTTTCTATATTAAGAATAAGAGTGGTACTATTGGCATTACAGATAATAGTATCTTGATGTTGTATTTGTTTACAGAGGTTTTGTAATTCAAGAGCTTTGTAGTAAATTTGCAAAATAACTTATATTGATAGGTCTTGTAATAGGTTTATTGTTGTTAAGATTATTAGAGATTTATTTAAAAAATGTAAAGAAAATTAATATTAAAAAAAGACATTTCTTTAGCTTTTTTATATATGTTAAAATTTTTTTCACACTTCTATGCTAAGCAATCTTTGGCACAGTTATTTGTAATTTGTTTAACTCATGCTGTTTCTTATTAATTTTGTTTAACTCATGCTGTTTCATACTTAATAGTGACTAAATTTATTTAACACATGCTTCTTTTTTGTGTTTTATTAAAGATTACATTGTTTACAATATATGTTAAACAATTTTTTGTTCTAAAATTTGGCAAAATTTGTATTATCACATGTCTATTTTATTCTATTTATGTAATTATAGTGTTCTTAATATCTTCTTTTTCTTAAAAAGTAAGGTCTTTGAACCTTATTTACTAATTTGTCTAAAATTAGTAACTTTGTTCTGGTTGGTTCATCTATTTCTAAATTTAGCAATCATATTATTTTTATTATAATTGTTTTTTGTTTATTAATAAAATTCTAATTTTCTGTTATATCTGTTTTTGTTATTTATTCTGTTCAAGTTTTTTTTTATGTTTGGTCTACAAACCTTTTTATCTTTTTTTCTTTTTCTACTAGTTTTCTTGTCAAATAACCTTTCTTGTTGATAAACTTGTCTTTTTATTTATTGTTTTTCATTAAGGTGTATATACTTTTTGGGTTGTAGGCTTGTCCTGCCTAATATTAAGACACTTTAGAATAAGGCTAGTTATTATTTGAGTAAGCTAAACAGATAATTTGTTTTAAGCTCAGTAGACAATTTTTTTTTTATTATTAATTTTTTTTTTTCTTTTTTTGCAGTTAGAAGATAACCAATACTTAATTTTTTCTGATATTTTTCTTTTTATTATTTTAAGTATATCATTTAGAATGTATATTCTAACTTTTTGCTTTATAGATGCCTTACTAAAGCAAAAATCAAGCAATTTCTATTCATTTGTTCTCTCTCCAAAATCATGTTACAAATTTGGAGGCTAAAGCAAATAAAAGAGCTTCACCAAACTTCAAGATAATCTAACAAGAATGGCAATGAAGCACTATCTACAAGCAGATAGTTACAAAAAGAAATTTGATACAAGTTCAGATTGCAAATTTAAAAGATAAGGTCTAGGAGTTGCAAAAAAGATTGAAGAAAAGAGAGAGTCAAAGATATTTTTGTAATATTTTGTAAATAGTAATAGTAATAATAATAAAATTTATGTTAAATGTAATTGTTTTTTTTTTTAATTTTTTTAATTTTTTTTGTATTAAGTTTTTATAATTAATAAAATAATAATTAATAAAATAATAAGTAATAAGCAAATAAGTAATGTCTATAAAAGTAATAATAAAATATTAGATTTTATGAAGCACAGTTTCAATAACAACTTGTGGTTTCCAGTTTCATTATTTATGATATCATTTTAAATGATTATTGTTGTAATATTTTTGTAAAATTTGTTTCTTGTTGTTGCAAAATTAATAAGCATTATTTTCTAATTTAGCATAGATAATAAATGGTTTAGTTCTTTTATTTTCAAACTTTGCAAAGTGTAAGGCTTCCAAATTTTTTCATTGAATCAAAACTTTATTTCTAACTTTAAATTCTTCTGGTTTTAGTCTTTTGTTATGTTTTTCTTTTTGTTTTTCTTGTAATGCTTTTGTATTTCATTTGGCTTGTTCTTATGCTTTTGGTAGTTTGTTTATTAAGTTAAAAGCTCATAACAAAATACTGTTTTTCAAGTTTATTTCTGTATTAGTTTCTTTTATTAACAAAATTAATTCTATTAGTAATATAGCTTGTCTTTTATAAGTTAGCTAAAAAGATATATATTTTGTAATAGCATGCTTCTTAGTTCAATAAACAAAAAGTACAGCAGTAAGATTTATATTAAAATTTTTACTAGTTCTTATTTTTGCTAAGAATTCACACAATGTTCTATTTAGTCTTTCTATTATATCATTTGTTTGTGAATGATATAGTAATAAAAACTTATATTTTATAAGAAAGTTTTCATATAGAACTCGAATTATTTTACTTTGTAAGTTAGATTTTGTTTTAAAGAACAATCTTAAGTATCTCATGTCTACAAACTATTTCTGTAAAGATAAATTTTGCAAAAGTTAAAGCACTTGCATCTGGCACTGTTGAGCTTTTGGTTATCAGGTTAAATAGTTTGTTGCAACAATAATGTATTTATTATTATAAGTAATAATAGGTAATAGTCCTACTAAGTTAATTTCAATTTTTCAAAGACTTGTTCTATCTTAATAGAATGTAAAGGTTCTTTTTTTTTAGCTTTGCCTCTTCTTTGGCATTGATTACAAGTTTTTATATATTTTTTAATATCTCTATATATTTGATCTCAATAATATTTTTTTAAGATTTTATGATACATAGCATTTATTTCTAAATGTCTTGCAGTAGAATAGTTATGCATCATATATAAAATAGAGTCTACTTCTGTTCATTTAATAACTCTAAATAGTTTGTCTAGTTTGTTTATAGATTTTTTGTTCTTTTTATACAAAAGTCCATTTTGAAGCATAAAATATTTAGCCTGATTAGTAAGTTGTTTTTATTAATAAGTAGTAAAGTTCAAAGGTATAATGTTAAAATTTAAATAATTAAATAGATTGTAATATTGATCTAAGTTTATTATTTAAATTTTTATGTCAAAGTCTTAAGAAGGCATTCACATTAAAGTGAATTCTACCTAGTTTATGAATAATTGTAAAGTGTAAGATTAAAGTTTCAAAATCTAGCATCCAATATATTTTTTGGATTCTACAGTTTTAAGATATTTTAATGCTAAGTAATTAGTTATTAAAAAAATTCTGTAGCTTCTAAATAACTATGAAAATGTTTAATAGCCTATACTATTGCAATAGAATGTTCTCTATTATCTTTATCTTTTTGGCTTAATATGGCTTCAAAGCTATAATATAAAGCATCTGTAGCAAGTATATAAATCTTTTGCTAAAATTAAAATAAGCTAATATAGATGCAGTAACAAACTTTTTTTTAAGTAATTCAAAGACTTGTTGTTTACTTCCCAATAATAAGGTTCATCTTTATATAAGAGTTTGTTAAGAGGTTGGGCTATTGCTGAAAAGTTTCAGATAAATTGTCTATAGTATCCAGCTAAACCAAGAAAAGATCTTAATTTAGTGGTGTTTTTAGAAGGTTGAATTTTTTGTAAAGCATTAATTTTCACAAGGTCTGAGGCTATTTTTTTTAAGCTAATAGTGTGTCCTAAGAAGAGTAATAATTTTATTCAAAATTTGTACTTGTCAAGGTTGAGATTTAATCTAGCTTCTCTAATTCATTAAAACATTATTCTTAAATGTTTTAAAAGATCCTCAAATGTTTTTAAATATACATTGATGTTATCAAAATAGACAACAACAAATTTTTATGCAATTCATTTATATACTCTGTTTATGAGTTGTTGAAATATTGCTAGTGCATTATATAATCTAAATGGCATTATATTAAATTTATAAATGCTATATTTTATAATAAATATAGTCTTTTCTTTATCTTTTAAATTCATTATAACTTGTCAATAGCTACTAGCTAAGTCTAAAGTTGAGAATTATTATAATTCAGCTAATGCATCTAATATTTTTTGTATTTTTAATAAGAGATAAGCATTCTTTTTAGTAATATTGTTAAGTCTTCTGTAATCTATACAAAATTTTAACTTTTCATTTTTCTTTCATACTAGAACAACAGGTAATGCCTAAGGGCTTTTTGATAGTTGAATTATATTACTTTTAAGCATTTGTTCAATTTTTTTTTTAATAAAGTTCTGTTTATCAAGAGACATGTTGTAAGGGCATAATTTAATAGGTGGTATATTTTTTGTATAAATGTAATGTTTAACTTTATTTGTTCTGCCAAGTTTTGTTATAATTTTGACAAATAAATCAGCAAACTCTTCTAATAAGTTTTTGAACAATCATCCTTGTTCTTTAGTAAGTAGTTCTACATTTATAGTATCTGTTTTCTCTAAGGCATATTCCTTATATAGTATTAGAGTATCTATTGTATATACATGTTTTTTTTTAATACATTTTTTTGCAAAGTCTGTTGCAAAGCTTTTTCTTCTGTTGGTAATTCTTCTTCAAGTAATAATTCTTTAATTTCTTTGTTTTTTATTTTTTCTAAATCTTTTTGGTCTTTTAGTTAGATCTTTTGGGTTTTCTGAATCTTTTAAATCTTCAGAGTCAGGTAGTTTTTAATCTTGCCTAGAATAATTTAAAAATTTTGAAGTGTAAAGGCCAAATAAAAATAATAATTTGCTTATTCTTGGTAATGAGTTATTTGATTTTGAAAAAATTTTATCTTTTCAAAAATGTTCTCTAAATATTAAATTCTGGCTTTCAATTTGGCAATAATTTAGTCTTTTTCATTCTCTTTTTATTCTTTCTTTTCTCAAAATTAATGTTCTTACTTATTTCTATAGGTTCTATAATAATAATTTTTTTTGATAACTCTATTACTTCTATAATGTTTTCTTCTTCTGAAATAGTTTCTTCAGCAAGAGTTAACTTATTTAACTCTTAGTAATATTTATCACAATATTTTTGATGTTTTTCTAGTTCTGCATATTATTTAATAAAAAGACATTTACAACAAAGAGCTATTTATTTTCAAAATTCTTTTTTAAATTTTCTACTGCTTTTTGAATATCAAAGTCTGAATAAGCAGTATTAAAAGATTTATTTAAGATCTGTTATAAGATGGCTTTTTCTTTTTCATTGAGGTTTATTTGTTTTGTTCAAAGTAAGTAGTAATTTCATCAGGGGTCCATTTATAACTATTTATTATAGTCTTGTTTTTTTATTACTTCTTTTATGGTTTGGGTATTTTCTTCTAATAAGACTTTAGCAAGTTAATAGATTCTAACTTGGTTCAAGTCATACTGACTTCCAGCACTCTTGTTAGACTCAGTATAGTATTTAATTCTGTTCCAAATTTTATAATTTGGATTATATTGCAAATTTGAGCTAACTTTATAAGTGTACATATGTTCTAATTTACAAAACTATAGGTCTTCTTGCATACTTTCTAAGTAATGCATTCTTGATCAAGGTTTCTAAATATTATACACTTTACATTAGACAAGAGTTCTTTTTCTTAGTCCTGTGATATAATATTTATAAGTTTCTAGTTTATTATATAACAACATTTGGCATTTCATGAGCTCTTCTTTCTGAAAGAAGTTTAGTAAATTCATCATTTTTTCTAATATTCTGGGAATTGGATCAAATTCTGCTAAAAAATTTATTATTGGTTTATATATTGCTTTGCCAAATTTTATTAAACATTTTACTTATATTTTAAATAAAGGATCTTTAAGCCAATCATTTAATAATACCTATTATGAAGTATATTGCTTGAATAAATTTTTATAAGTTTTAAGTTTTTTTTTATAAACCAATTTGTAAATACTTCTATTAAATTTTATCATTTAACTAATTGTCATGTTGCTTGTAATTTATATAGCCAATGTTGTCTAAAAGGCTTTTGGAATTTGGTATGTTGTAATCCAAGATGTTCTTTATACATATTTGATATAAATGAAGCTTTCATACTTATTGGATTTTCTTTTTTACTTTTATCATATCTATTATAAAGTTGCCAAATTAAATAAAGTAAATTAAATGGATGTTTTTGAGTAGAAAATCCAGTATTGACATCTAATTTACCAAAAGCAGAGTTTTTAAAGTAAGTTATTATAATATGTGCTAAATGCATACCACATGATATTTGAAATGAATTTGATAATGTTTTATTATTAAATAGTGTAATAGCTCTACTTTTAGAACCTGACATATATGCAATATTGTTAGTTGTTCAAGTATTGCATTTTTGAGAATTTATTTTATAATTAATACAAGTTTTAGCAATTATATTAGCAACAGTAGATCTACTAAAATTTGTTGATTCTAATAAAGTTGCTTAGGGGTGTAGTGACTTAGTGAAGTAGATAAGTTGTCAACCCTCCAAGTGGTAGGTTGTGAGTTCAAAACTTACAGATAGTAAAAATTTGAATAATCATCTATGTAATATTCATATTATAGCAACTGTTTCTAATAATTAGATTAAGATATCTGTAATTATGGTCACACCAGCATGACTGGCAGGTCACAGGGCATCTGTGTAACTGGTTACACAGAGGAATGCAAACTATCAATGGGTGGTGCAAACTCAAAATAGGTCCTTGTGGCTGTATAAATCTATAAAAATTGAGAAACAAAAAGCCCACTTGGGAAAACCCAAGTAGAGAGGTAATACAAATCTTCAACAGTACTACTGTAAAGGCTAGACCTAGGAAATGAATACTAATGTGAAGTACCTGGATAGGCAAAAACCTTTGGATGAAGGGTATCACCAATCAGGCTGCCAGAAGTCCAACTAGAAGAACCAGTAGAAAAGGATATCAGGCCAATCTGATATACTAATAGGCTGGTCATAGTTTTACTAGGCTATCTGGATTGGGAGTTTGGAGAAAAAGCAGAGGTATACTAAAAGTACTAGAGATATACTGTAAAGTAAATGCTGAGTCTGGGTGAACTCTGCAAGAGCAAGCCTTGTTAATGTTCTGTAGAGTGAGTAGGTAGTTAACAAAGAGGCTTCTAGAGCCTTATAGTCAGGTGTCATACTTTGAAAATAATTGTATAACAGCTTAACAGATGTACAGAAGAGAGGCTAAATGTTGGGTTAGATGGCACTTAGGTGTACAGGAACTGGAGTGCTAATTGTCTGAGTGCAATATAGAAATCAGAGTGTTTAATTAGATAGTCTTCTAGTAGATTATAGATATGGCAGCTAGTGTAGAACCCTTAGGCAGACTACTTAAATAGGTAACCAAAAGTTACATATGTAGCTAGTTGTATGCTTATTCTGTACAAGTAATATATAATATATTCATTAAAAACACAAATAAAGGCATTAGCTACTATTAACATTAGCTTTAAAACAAAAAAAAAATAAAAAAATAAAAAATAAAGTTGCTTGTAAAAAGTTTATATTTAAATTCCAGTAAATAAAATATATTATAAAAATTTTACTATTTCTACATTTAGATTCATTAGCCATTATACTATAAACTGAAAAATTAGAACTTTCAATTATATTTAATTGTTGATTTAAATAAATTTTTGCAACATCTTTATGCTATTTGGTAAGAGTTTTTACTGAAAACTATTTATTAGTTTTTTATTAATTAGCTATTCAACTACTGCTTTAGTATATTCAATAGCAGATTTATATAATATTTTACCAATTTGACAAATTCTTATTGCCATCTGTACTATTTTTGCAACATCTTTATGCTATTTGGTAAGAGTTTTTACTGAAAACTATTTATTAGTTTTTTATTAATTAGCTATTCAACTACTGCTTTAGTATATTCAATAGCAGATTTATATAATATTTTACCAATTTGATAAATTCTTATTGCCATCTGTACTATTTTTGCAGTATATTGATTTTTGTTTTTCATTAACTGTTGGTTAATTGCAGTTTTTAATTCTTCTTTATTTATAATATAAATTTTAGTCTTTGAAGCATTAGAACATAATTTAGATATTTGTTGCTTATAAATTTGTATAAATTTACTAATTTTTTCATATAATAATTTATTCTCAATTTTAATTAAATTTAATTGGTATGTTAAACTATTTAATTGATTTTCTAATAATTTAATTATAGTAGTACAATTATTAATATTATATTTTACTTGATAATATAAATTTTCTATAAAATGTACTGCCTTTTGTTGTAGATAGTGTAAAAAGAGCTTGCCAATATTTGGATCTTTTTTATATCACATAGTTTGCATCAAAGAATAAGCTAATATTAATTTATTATAATCTATTTGTATAATATAATTTAAAAATATTAGTTATATTTGTAATAATTTTAGATTATATTTTTGATTATAAGTAAGTATTTGAGTAATTTGATTAAGTAAATCAAGTAATTGAATCTTTAAATTTACTAAATTATAATTAATAATATTATTTATTTAATAATTATAAAATTTAAAATATAATTAACTTTACTGGCTTAATTTACTTGATCTATTTGCATTTTATTAGATTGTATAATAATAGCTTCAGTTTGAGTAATAATTGTACTAATATTAACTTCAGTTTAAGTAGTAATTGTATTAATAATAACTTCAGTTTGAGTAGCAACTGTATTAACTATAACTTCAGTTTGAGAAGCAATTGTATTAATAATTGTTTCAGTTGAAGTATCAATCAAATTAATAATTGATAAAGAAGATATATTAGATTCAATTGTATTTTCATTATTAATTTGCTTTTTTGAAGACTTTCTAATAATACTACAAGCTTTTTTTAAATGATTTTGCTAACTATAAGATCTTCTTTTTTGCATATTATAATAATTTTAAAAGTAAATGATAAATAATTATAAATTATATCAATTTAACTATTTCACAACTCTCTCTGACGATTACTTATACTGAATTTCATACCAACAAAAACAGAAAACTTATTGGAGAAAGCAGAAGAGGCTACTATATAAATAATGGTTTTTATAAAAGTCAAAGTGGTTCTTCTACACTGGACTCCTTTATATATTTAGCAAGCAAACTAAAAGCATGCATATACAAGATAACT